AAGAAAAAAATCATTTTTATTCACAAATTATTTATAATAAATGGAAACAAAAAACAAATGAACATTTACGTAATTGTTTTCTTTTGCAACGTTCAAAAATATTTTATGAAAAAAATTTATTAAAAAAATTCTTTTCTCAATGGAAAGAACAAAATCATTTTGATATGCGTATTAAAGTAAATTTCAATAATCAATATTATTTTATTTTATTTTTTAAATATTTCTTTATCAATTAGTTACTCGAACGGCAAGCTATTTGGTTTGATCGAATGCGTTTAGTAAGTCGTATTTATCTTCAATGGAAACAAACATGGCAATCCGAACAAAAATTAAACGAAGAAAAACATCGTGCATTACTTTTTTGGGCATTACAATTACAAAAAAAAGTATTATTATTTTCTAATCTTTATATAACGCACATATTACGATCAAGCTTTTTTCGCTAAAACTGTTTTCTTTTTATTGGAAATATGCAACAGTTGTTAGGAATATTTTTCACAATTGAGTTTTGCACTATTTCGATGGAATCTTCTCAATTCCTAGGACACAATTCAGGGTTTCTCAAGAACGATTTTTACATGTCTCTCCAAAAATATATTCAACAGATGCAGTATTTTGTATCGATCATGAATATCGTATGTAAAATCGAAGAGGATCAGATTTTAACTGACTCAAGAGTTTTAGCACCTGTGATGAACCAGAAAAGCACTTAGGCTGAAGTAGTTCATCGTATTGAATCAAATCGTGATAAAGTTCGAAATGATCTGACTCGATGATCTAAATTCTTCGTTACAAACGAAGGTAGACGTAGAATTTTAGAAGTATTGAGATATTGGAATCAGCTCGTGTCGAATGATCACAGGTCCATTAACTGAAACATGGATCTAAGCAAAAGTGATGTAACTCTGGAATGGAACAAGCTGAGAATGTCGGCCTTGAATAGATCGAAATAGAAGAATTTTTTTCATAAAATGGTTCTATAAGAAGTCTCAATCATACGTAATTACAATGTTCGCAAAAAAAAGCGTAGAAATATTTTTAATAGCCGATTTTATACTATTCGATGATGATCTGTTGGTAAGAAGTCATATACACAGACCGACGAAGTTTTTCATGCCTTATTCAATATTCAATTAAAACCAGCAAAAAGACGATGTAGATCAAGTTTTCAGATATGCACTGAAAATCTGATCTCCTCATTTTATAGAGAGCCTAGACTTTTCGACAATACTATTGCGTTCAGCATATCTTGAACTTGTTTCTACAATTTTTGATAGTCTCAACTTGATCCAATCAATAGATATTTTACAGTATTATAATGGATTAATAGAATCGAATAAAACTTATGAATAATTGTAGGAATAGGTTTTGAGATATGTTGAACATTATAGCGTCTTACTGGTTTGAATTGATATTTGAACCAGATATAAAAAAACTGCGCCTATTGTGTATAGTTTATCGGAAAATATCCTTCTTATTACCTTTTTTAGTGTTTTGTAAACTGGTTAATTTATATAAGTAATCGTAAAAGAAAAAAACGTCGTTATAATGAAGCAACACATCAACGACATGATGAACTTATACGTAATAGTTTACGTCAATTTCTTATTTATACAGATCATACAAAACAAAGACGTCAAGCTTTATTTATTCATCAACAAGTTTATGTATGTTTATATTTTAATAGATAATCATCAAAATAAATTATATTATTTTCTAGTTATATCATGATCGAAATGCATTAGCTTCAAAATATGTTGCTAAATGGCGTGAATTTGTTAAAGAATCAATTGCACGTAAAAAATTAACACAACGTTTAACTCAAAGAAATACAAATGTTGTACCCGTAACGAATAATCCACTTGCTCTTGTTAAATTTGATAATAGTCCACCAAAGTAAGTCAAATTCATATGATTGAATATACAAAAACTGAGTCGATTGATGAGAAAATTGATCTATTAAATCAGAGAAAGTGGTAATTAGTTGCATGTTTGACAGAAGCGTGGTGTCTATTTCACTTTGCACAAACCTCCAACTATGAAATGTATTTATGGTGAAATTTTGAGCAAGATCGAACTCGAGAAAACTTATTTTTCGGAGATTTGTCTTTATCCCAGAATGAGAATGTTTTGTGTGTCTATCATCTCATGAGCCGTAAGAAGGGTTTGGACTATTGAGAGCAGCTTTTAAATTTCTCATTCAGTTACAAGAGAATTTTTCGTTTCTATATTCAGACTTACTCACGTTGCCACAACAAGTAACTTCATTTAAAATAAAAAAACTTTGCATAGAGATTTTGTAGCCTGAAACTATGAAAACTTCATCTTCTTTTTTTTATGTCGAGGGCTACTTCAGTTTCTTCAATCATAATTCGGCAGAGGAATTGTCTATACAAATGAGTTCTCCAGAACATCTAGAGTGATTCCATATATACGTATTTTTATTTTGCGATATCGCGTCACTAAAACTTTCGGATTCAAATTTTGCTCATTAGTAGGCAACTTGTAGACTATAACAAGATCATAACAGAATACCAACGCTTCTTCTCATTCACGAGAAATATTCAGAGACTTATTATTTCAGCAAAATTATACTTTTGAATTGTGTATTGAAACTTTGCTTATATATAAATCTAATATTAACTATCTTCTGCACAAAGTTTCAGAATTCTTAGTAGATTCCATTAGTATTTCTACAATTAGTCAGATATGTGCCAATAAAACATTCGCCAATAACTGGCAAAAATGCACGTCATTCTTAACAATTCAAGCATATAATCTTGAAATTTTATAAACTCTTGTTAAGTCCCAATTTCTTTTGATATATTCTTACATGTTTAGCACACAAATCAGCGCACTGTCGCTCGTAGACAAAAGATTCAATGCAGATCAATAGTATAGAGTATTTATTGGAGACAATCCTGCGTTAGTAGCGTTAAAATAATAACTATGACCAGATCATTGACATCATTCAATATTCTGTGTTTGACTAAAAACTGCGATCAACGAAGCATAGAATGATCTATGAACAAATATTATTCAAAAACATATCTAAAGAGCTCAGACTATCTTCTGTCAACATTGTGCATCTTCGTATAAAATTTTCATTTGGATGATAAGCGACTAACTCTTATACCGTTCATATATAGTTATATAAATTTGTTCTAACTACAAAGTAGATATTTTATATCAGACATACGATTCGCAAATATTTTGTCATTGATAGAAAGTTTCAGTTCACAATTCAAACGTATATTTTAATTCTGATTAGAACTTAATATCTGCGTCAAACAGCAATAGGTATCTCTCTAGTCTATTCTATCAAACAGCTTTAAATAGATTTGGACGTATTCCCTTGATAAACTTTAACGTATAATTTTGGCTCTATTTCAATTTCAATAACTATCCTTTTATTAGAATAACAAATCGACCACGACCACGAAAACCTGCATTTTTATCTGAATCATTTTCTACTTCGGCCATAGACAAAAGGTAAGTTTTTATTGAAATTAAAACCTTTTCAGAAATTTTGCTTTCTTTTTGTTATAGAGAATCTGAAATACCCACAATTAACATTCGAATATCACCATCACTATCATCATCATCATCACCACCGCCACCACTACCACCAACAATTGATCATTCATTACATTCTCCATTTGTTAGTATTAAACAATCAACAACTACTCGACAAGATGCTTCATCACCACCAATACTTCTTCCACCATCTGCATTTAAAATAAATCCTAATGAAATAAAAATGCCATTATCATCTCGACAAATAATTGATGATAAAATTCGAATTTCTCATCGATCACATTCAACTCAACCATCAACAAATATTTTAATTAATAAAGATAATTTACTTAATGTTAAACAACGTTTAGAAATTTATCTTAATAATAAAGCAAAGCTTAAGTAAATAATTCAAAGTTTTTAGACTTTAAGTTATAATATTTTATATCTTTTTTAGACGTCTTAGACAACAATTAGCAAATTTATCTCCATCACAAATCGATAAACAAGTAAAATATTTATTTCATATCAAATTCTTATTATTCTTTTTTCTAATTTCATTTTTCTAGCTTGAACAAGAATGTCAACAATTAACTGCATTTATTGCTTCAGAAAAAATTCATTTGACTAGTGTATTACAAAATTTATAATATTTTGATGTGCCTTTTTTTTTTTGTATCGAACTATTCTTACTTGTTGTTGTTTTTTTATCATCAATAATGGATAGACTTTGATAAATAAATTGCATCGGGTTATTCATATAGAAGATTAAGATCACTTTTTTTTTCTGTTCTATTCCCAATACCCATTATATAGAGATCAGTTTAGATTTTTAATTCTTTACTTAATTGAATAAATACGCAGTTGCAATATTCGAACGATTTATTTCATTTACCATAGTTAATTTATTCTAGGCCAGTCCGTTATAATGTTAATAATAGTTATGATTGTATCGTATCTACTGTTTATATATGATAGGTCGTCTGGTAATTTATCTAAATGTTAATTATAAATCAATGTAAAAAAATAGAAAAATGTGCGTGGAATAATGAAAACTTGTTGTCGTTTATTGATTAGCAAGAAAAAAAGGTAACAGAAAGAAAAATAACAAGATCTTGCTGTCTTTTTCTTTTCCAATTCTAATCAACACGCACATATAACGCAGAAAAATAATCGTCGAAGCTTTCATTGTGAACATTTATTAATGATTATCATACCAATGAAAAACTAGAAGTATGTTATTGTTTTTTTATATATATTGTAAAAGCAATGAAATCAAAAAAAAATTAATAAATCTTGTTTTCATGTTGAATAGTTAGTTTACATCAAGAAATAAATAATTCAGGACCTTCTTTTCATGTTTTTTATGATATCCTAATCTAATAAATATTTGATGTACTATTTCGAATAGCTACATATCATAGCTCATGTTTTTTGTTCATATTTATAAACTTTGATAACTAATTTAGTAAAACTTTCCATTAATGAATCAATCGAATACATCAAAAATTTCTACATCCACATCGTTCATTCCTAATGAACAACCATCAACGACATTTCATGGAAAAGGCTATATTACTATGGGTCCATTAACAGCCCAACATTATGAAATTCCATCAAAATCTATTCATGGAATAAAACAAGAGCTTACGAGTTCAACTGAACCATCAACTATGAATAAAGAATACCAATTTAAAGTCATGCTATTAGGTGATAGTGGTGTTGGTAAGTTAGTTTTCATAAGACAATTTCCTTTTGTTTATTAATTTATAGGTAAAACATGTTTACTCATACGATTTGATAATGAAACATTTTTGACTAATAATTTTCATAGTACTGTTGGTATTGATTGTAGACATAAAATTGTAACACTTGGAAATAAAAAAATTAATTTACAAATATTTGATACAGTAAGTTAATTATTTTTGTTTTTCAATCTATAACCTGGGCAAGACTCAAAAAAAAAAAATTCTTTTTTCAAATCCATTAAAATAAGGATGTATGGAATAAAATGGATAAATGAAATGATAATGATGGCTTTTAGTACTACTACTAACGTCTTATTATCTATTAATTGTTGCAAAAGATGTTAATCTTCTTGATCGATTTCTTATTCGTTTCCTAGTGTCATAATATTGCTTGAAACAACAGCTGATGTTATTTTTCAATCTTTTACGTAGAATGTTTCTGATTCTATTCATGAAAAGAATCAATCGATCAAAATATAGATAATGTGTTGATGAGGAACTATACTTGATTTGATGAAATATTGTTAGATGATTTACTTGGTTTTTTCTTTCTTTTTCTTCTTCTATATTTTATTTTTCTTTAAAAAAACCAAAGGCTGGTCAAGAACGTTATCGATCGATAACACCTGCTTATTATCGTGATGCACATGCATTATTATTAATTTATGATATAACATCTTATTCATCATTTGAAAATACATCAATTTGGTTAAATGAAATAAAAGAACATACTCATAATGATATAATTATAATGTTAATTGGAAATAAAGTTGATAAATATCAACGTGTTGTATCAAGAGAAGCTGGTGAACGTTTAGCACGAAATTATCAAATTTATTTTCTTGAAACATCAGCTAAAACAGGACAAAATGTTGAATTAGCTTTTATGACAACAGCTCAAGCTATACTTGATAAAAAAATACATTCAAATAATACAAATCATTTATTAAATGATAGAATTAAATTGAAAACTACTGAAACATATAACTTTTGTTGTTAACAGTTCATTTCTATCTGAAAAAAAAACACATATATATAGCTATGAATCTTATTTGACATATTTTAATTGTAAACATATATTATTTGCTTGTATTAGATTAAAAGCAAAATGTTGATCTAAGGAAAAAGAAAACCAAAAAAGTAAATTTCATCTTTGTTTTTAAAATTCTAAATTTACCTAATAATTGATAAATATGAACAAATTGTAATAGTGTTGAATTTTTTGATGATACAATATTTTGTTCTATGGTTTCATATTCATGATTTATTGTTTTTTGAAATGTTTCAAAAACAAATAGTAAATATGGAGATGACGATGGAATAACATAAACTGATGTTTGTTCAAATGTACGAGTCAGTACATAAATAACTGATGCTTGTAAACGAGTAAGAATAGGTGCTGATTGTACATAATAAACACCATTTTGGGATTGTAACTAAGAGAATAATTTCATTGTTTTATGTAAATTATCAACTATGAAAAAAAAAGTACTTATGACTCTGTATGGTTATGATAAAATCAAGGCTTAACTTCTCAAAAGGGATATTTTGTTAAAATAACATAAGATTTTAAAATAATTTACGGTTCAGTTACTGTTTTTCCCGACTAGGATTGAATATCTCCGATGAGGAAACGTTCTTAAGTATTTGATCAAGACTGTACTAAGATGATTGACTATAGTGAGTAGTATAAAAGTCTAAGATGGTTCGATCGTCTGAACCTTTGTTCTTGACATATCGAGTTTTTACTCGATTTGGTAACTGAAATCTGTCGTCTTCTTCTTCATATCATCTGAAAATCGAATTTCTAGTTTCGACTTGAAATTTTGTACAATTAAAATTCTCAATGATATTAATTTATTGCAAAAAATTTTGCATATAGTGATTTCTTCGGAAGTGAAACACTACAAACAATACAACTTTCACAATGAACTAATATTGTGGAGAGTTTTATCTGTGCGAAGTGTTAAGTCGAAACTAGATTTTCATGGTGACTTGAACAAGATCAGTAATAATTCGATATGTCTATAACAAAGAATCAGACAGTCGAATCATTTTAGGCTTTGACATCACTTACTATAGTCTATCATTTGAGTAAAGTATCGATCAAAACGTAATTGAACACTTGGAAATGTTTCTTCGTTAGATTGCATCGTTGTGTTACGATCTAATCTCTTACTGATAAATTTTACTATTTATTATCATTTGTATATCGCTTAATCTACAAGAAAGACGCTTATGATGTTAAAATTAATAATTATTATTCAAAAATAAAATAACAGAAAACACGCTGCATACGTCTATTCTTTTTCTATACTTGTAATATTCTCACATTCAATATTGAATTTCAATAGTTCTCAATTTGAATACAAGAACTACTCGATGAGATTCTTTTTTCATATTCATCCACGTATGTACAATCTTTCTCTTCCTTATCCAAATAAAAACAACCGCAACAAACAAGTAGTCGAATGATCTTTCAATAACTACAAATATTTATTAAATAATGTTTCTAAACAATGATCAATCATTCAAAATGTTGTGTGTTTTTAAGTTTAACTTGGCATCTCAAAAGAATACCAATTATTTTGTCCCACGTCTCATCAAAAACACTTGTAGCTCTTAGATATTATATAGGCATTCTATGACACTTTCTATTAAGAACAATACAATAGATTTCATCAATCTTAAAGTTTCCTCTTCCTGTCTGATTATTTTTAGTAAGATTCACTGTTTTACCTATTTCGATGGTAAGTATACTAATTGAAACTCTTTGTTAAAATAATTACGAATGACATTCAGGAAGTTTTATCTTACTTTTTGAAAATTAAAAATCATGTATTGTTCTCTTACGCAATGAAATATTTCATAAATCTTTTTATATTCATAAATGGACGCTACTATTCTTCATTTCTTAGTTCAAGAAACATTTTTTTTTTTATACATTCAAAAAAAAGTATACTTAGATTGAATTACTGATCTTTGATTTGTTTTATTATTAATCAAAACTTACATTTATTTGATAATCACGAGCAAATCGTTGAAGTTGTTCAAATTGTTCATTTGAAATTTCTATTGATGATACATTTCGTATCGATTGTAGATCGATTACATTTTCATTCTAACGAAGAAAAAAAAAAAAATCTAAACTTTAATTAAAGAAAAAAAATATATTATTCTTACTAATAAAACTGTATTAATATCAATGTTACTACATAATTCAAGTAAATATCTATTACAAAAACATGAATTTCGAATATTTTGCGATTTTTTACCAAATATACAATCAATAACTATTAATTTATTAGCAATTAATTGACCAATATAAATATGAGAAATTGATATATATTGATCGATTATTATTTGAGATAATATTTGACATGTCTGACATAAATCATTGATTTTATTATTTGAACATATTAAACAAAAAAATCCATTTCGAATTTGATTTTGAATTGTATCAACATCAATTTGATGTTGATTATTAAATGTACCTGTACGAGTTATACGATGATTGTATGAATGAATATGTTCAGATTTTAAATTTGTTTTTAATAAATGTCGATCATTTGATAATAATTGTCGAATTTGACATTGATCAACATATGTATTAAGTATATGATTTTTTATTTTATTTAATTTTTTATTAAATCGTCGATATCGATTATGAAAATAATTAAGATTATGTTTTATTGTATTGATTTGATGGAATTGAAATAATTGTGAACATTCAAGAAGTTGATTAAGAAATGATAATGAATATGATTGAAAATTTAATTGATGATTATCAGAAAAAGAATTTTTAAATTTATCATGATTGAAATCCATACATATGACATATATTTCAGAATTTCCTTTCTTTACAAAAGAAAGATGTTTGTCTTTTTATTTTCCATAAAAAAAAAAAAAAATTATTCTTACTTTACTTGTTTGTGGTTTAAACATTGATATCTGTATAATGTATAATAAAAAAAAAAAAAGTTCAATTAAAATAACAAATAAAATTATTTTAATTACCTGACGAAATGTTTGATAGAGTAAATAAATTAAATCAATTGTTACTTGTTCAAATATAGTAAATAATTTTAAAATAAAATTTCCATGTGTCATTAAACATGATAATGCAATATAAACTTCAGTTTTTAATAATGGATAAACAAGAAGTTCTTGTTCACCTGGATTATTTTGTACATCAAAACTACCATCAGCTGTTATCTAAGAATAATATATTAAATTGTCATTAAATCATTGAATATAATTGAAGAAACTATAAAATTTGAATTCATCATAGATATTGATTTTCACAATTTTAGATTAATTTACAAATATTGAAAAGAAAAATACATTATTTTACTTTCGATCAAATAAAATGAAAGTTATGGTTATAAATTAATTACGGCCAAAAGAATTTTCGAGTCTACGTTAAATTGACCTCATTAACCTATATAGAAAGCATTATTTCTTTAAATAGTTTCTACATTCCATAGTGGTGAACAGTATGCATTTTCATCAAGACTTATTGCTCAGCAGTATGAATTTAGCTCATACTATGGTTATAGCGTCTTGCTGAGTACTATATCATTCTGCTCAGCACTTTGAAATATAGCAACTAATTAAAGAAATAAGGCTTTCTATAAGCGTTGATGAGGTCTATTTAACGCAGAGTCAGAAATTGATTGGATCAATATTCTTCTAACTGAAAAAAATAAACTAACTAGTGAAAAATAATTTCGTTTTACAGTAAGTAAAGTTGCATCATCTCATTTGTATTGAGCTTCCAACATACGGATTCCGTCCAGCGAATAACCAATCAACAAACATGATATTATATATACAGGGTATTTCGAAAGTAATTATACAAAGAAGAACTTTGAATATTTCCCTTATAGTTTTATTTGATGAACTGGTTTTCGTACTAGTAATAGAGAACACCTTCAAGTTTCTATCGACGTATGTTCCAAGTGCTTGAATATTCTTACAAAGTAGCACTTTTAGATTTAACAAACAAAGAAATGCTTTTTCGACTTTCGAAAAACAGTACATAGGCAAAAATCATTCGTTCACGATGTGATTTGACGAAATTAAAGTACGGAATAATGGGAGTATGAAGAGTTTTTAGATGACTTGAAAAGGTTTCTAGGTAATCAGTTGTTTAAAGAAAGTCTTTTGAAGTCTGTGCTCTACTAAAAATTCTTCTGTAGATGCTGTTCATAATGTACAGTCTATCCTGAAGTTTCCGATTTTTTTGTTCATATGATTAGAGATATATTCGCTAATTTATTTTTAATTGTGAGTTCGCTGAAAGAGTCAACATTTTACCATATGGCTATATTTAAAAGAACTCTTCTAAAGAATCAATGTCAAATGAAAAGTACGTATGTTCGGTTTTGCCTGAAATAGTTAACATATGGACAGAAACTTGGAAGTATCTTCTATTACGAATACTAATACAAACCTGGGCATAGATTTTGTCTGTTTAGCAAATTGATATCTCTTTTACTTTCTTCGAATGTACGAGTGAAAAAGAGAATCTAGCTTTTTCCTTATTTTAAAAGTAAGGAAAATGATAATCAATATTAGTGACTACACGCTATTACAAAAGGATGTTTCATAAGTATTTTCTTGATTTTAATTTTTTGTTACGTCTATCAATCTTAAGAAAGTGCTGCATTAGAAAAGAAAACATTGAAAAATTCTATCATTTTTTATAGATATGAAAGAGATCGTAATAGAAATCTGTGTTGAAAATATCACAAGTAAAGTAGTCTGTTCGTTATTCGTTATATGTTGAGATAAAAATATAATTATAGTTTAAAAATAGCAGCTAATCGTTCATTCATAATAAATCACTTTTGTCATTCTATTGCTAAAGCACCCTAATCATACGAGAGAAAATTTGAACATTCATGTTTTTCGCGTGAACAGAATTTAATTAAAAATTTTCAAATTTCAGAGATAGTCAGTGAGCCATAAAAAACCACTATGACGCACTACTTTATACCAATCTTCCATGCATGCAATGTCTTGTCACACACATTGATTAAACATAGTCTCTAAACTTCTGTTCGTTTAGTTCGAACATGATATCATGGTACTACTGTTTTTCATATGCGAGCAAAAATAAATTTTCTCTTACTTGAATATAGTGTAACAAGAATAGAGCAACAAAAGTGACTCACAGTGAATAACTGCTATTTTTTTCGTAACCCTGATAACAAAAAGATTTTTTTTCAAAAAACTTAATAGAATTTTTTAATATTTTTACTAACGTAGCACTTTCTTAGAGTTAATGAAGATCGAGTGCAATTTCTATTGAATAATAGATTAGATGTTATTTTCCGAAAAGAAATCGTCAATGCTCGTTCATCTTAATATAGAACAAAAAAATTTTTTCAAATTAAAATGATAATGATGCTTCCAGAACATATTTTAACCCTGTTTTTTTAGTGTTAATAGCACCAAGATATGATTTAAATCTACAAATGTATACGAACTAGTGATCACACTTTAGAAGTAGAAAGACATCAAGTGATTCACTTGTTGTTTTGCGTCATTTGAAATGATCTCTAGGTTGTTGTTAGTACTTATAGAAAAGCCTACTGTTTCATATAATATAAAAGTTTGAAAATCGTACTATCACTGGCATAGTAGTTACTGGATATCAATTAACTCCGATCTAGGTTCAGCTACGAAAAGTCATAACCGCACAAGACACTAATACGAACGAACCATTGTGATTTTCATGTTTTATTCGATAGAAATAATTATTATGCAAAGTTATTCTTTGCATCTATTTGCATTGATGATCAATTAAATCTAGTACTCATTGTTTTAAATGAAATATCACTGTCATTCTCCCCTTTCTGTATTTGTCAACAATACAGAAATCAAGAATCTTTGTCATAATAACTAATTACCTAAACAATGATTGCCTTTTAAAAACACAATGAAAAAGCTGTTAGCACAATCCCTTCAGGACTAAAATGCGAAACATGATATGGACCCTATTCATAATTACCGGAAGATTGTTTTATCGTATTTATTTTAGAAAACATTTCTTCACCATTATTTTACCTAATTCTCTACAAATGTCATAAGGAAGTAGTTCATATATTAGAATGAAGCATTATTGATATATCTATCTAACACGATCTGAGGGAGAAGGATAAAGTTTTATTCCTATACTTCAACACATCTTTTAGATCATGTTTCATAAAATGAAGTAATGCAATCTTACTGGTTCAGAAAAACGGTCATTTTTTATTAATTCTCTTAATTTTTCATCAAAATGGAGAAGCTACGCAGTTCATTCATGTTCTTCAATGAAAGATTATGATTCTGAAACTTCATCAAATTTATATTTGAATATATATTCTAATAACTTTTCGTATTCGAATTCAAAAAAAAACGAAAGTTTAATTGAATAATTCTAAAACATATTCTTCTTCTTGATATTGCACTAAACTTACCAAACGAATCTCCATGGATTGAAAACGTGAAATATAATGATTAATGTTTTCTTGATTCATTATATTGCCACTATTATCACTTCCAAAATCCCAATGATTTTCATCAATTGTATGATATATAAGACGATCATCATCAATAAGCATTGCTACCGTTGATTCATCATGTTCATAATAAGGATTTAAAGTTTGAGCAAACCATTGCCATTCGATATTTTGAGTTTTTTCTAATATAAAATATATTATAAAAATTATTTTATTTATGAAAAAAAAAAACATTAATTTTACCATGAGTAACAAGAAAATGATTAAGAGCAGAAATAAATGCACCAGGTGCTTCACATAAATGAAGTGTTATCCATTTTTGATTATTTTCACAATTAATTAAATCAAAATTTGCTAAAATTTCATACATTTTTGCCCATGCTTGTGTACCAATTTCAATATTTAATTTTTCACGTAAATATGGTACAATAGTCGAAGCAGTATTCATATGAGCAGTATGTCTTTAAAACAAATAAAGAAAGAAAAAAAAAAAAAAGTCGATTCATAAATACAAAATCAACTTAATTTTAATTAATTTTTTATATGACAAGATTTATTAATTTATTTTAGATTTCTAGGAAATAGTAGCTGAACTTCTGTTTCTTATCAAAGTGATTGATGATTATTATCATTTGACTGTTATATGTTCTTTCATTCTTCTCTTTCCTATATCAATCAATATGATTAATGATACAATGTGTGCGAACCTGTTCCAATCGATAATATCTTTATCAGAAAGTAATGATTTAACATCGTTAAGTTGTTGCTTGATTGTAGTTAATTTTTCCAATAAACATGATACATTGTCATTTCCAATAGAATTACTAAAATTACAATGAATAATTCTTCTTTTTTTTTTTTTTTTCTTGCTAATTATTCATGTAATTACTTCTCAACAAAATCAAATCGTATGTTTGTATGCTCTAATGATGATAATATTGATTTATTATCTTCTATTTCTCTACGTTTAACAGTATCAGGATATTCATATTCATATTGTCGTTTTCTTGTTGTTATCAATCCCTCAATAGGTCTTTTATCTTCATTCATTTTTATTTGTCTAAAATAAATACACAAATCATATATAAATCTTTGATCCAAGTCGGTAACTCATTAGTGCTTTTTTTTTTCTTTGCCAATATTTGATAATTAGCGAGAATACAATTATTTTGTAGTTAAATAAAGTATTGTTTTTTCGCTTACAAATTATTTGCAAAGTAAAACAATAAACAAGAAGAAAGAAAAAGGCGAAACATCCCAAAACCCAGAAGAAACAAAAAAAACCTAATCACTGTCAATTCTATTTTTCGCTAATCTGACACAACCTGTTTTCGATAAATAGTTTTATACGCACACATTTAAAATAATAAAAAAGCGATACGCATAAAAACAAAAGACAGAAAGCATTCTCAGTATATATATGTATATATGTATATTTAAAAAAGTTTCAAACGTTTCTTCAGATCAATACGTCGCCATTCAGGTAAGCTATAGAATTCTGATCGTGTCATTTGAAATAATGTATGAAATTCATCATTCGATAGATGACGCTAAAGAAAGAAAAAAAAAAGAATTGAACATTAAAGATAAGAAGACAAAAAAAAAAAGAGAAATTTTAATAACAAACTTCAAGATGATCTCGATCAACATTTGATGGTAATCGTTTTTTCGATAAAACTTTTAATTCTTCATATAAATAAATCTTTGGATTACTCATTAAAGCTGGAGCAGAATGAGTTGAATGTGTATATCGACCATCAATATCAATTCTCTTCAAAAACAAAAACAATAGTAAATAATTAAAATTAAAAAATCTTTTTTTTCTTGCAATCTTATAAATATCAAATGAAAATGTTTTCTTTTGTTTTTTTTTTTCATACAAACCTTTACTAACTTATCGTGATCTCTATCATTTGAATCTATAAATATAAAAAAATAATAAATTAACAATATAATTAATAAATAATATCTTACAACATGAATTTGTTGTTGAATCTATATCACAATGTCTTTGTATATCAAGATGATTAGATAATGTTTGAGTTTTAAGTGATGATGGTACAATATTATCATCATGTCGAAAAACTAATATTTCATTATGTTGCTGATATCTTGGTAGAGTTATATGTTTTCCACCTGCTGGTGTTGTTGATATTGATGTTGATAAACCAGTAAGACTATCATCATGATTAGTTATAGATGATGAATGTGTATGAACACGTCTTGATGGTGAAGCAAATTTAGGTGAATCAAAACGACAACGTCGTGGTGGTTCAATAGCTGCTGATGGTGAACGTGATGCTTTCCATGGATCAAGTGGTAATTGTTTTGAAATAATCTTTTCTTGTAGACGTAAATCTTCAAGTAATGCATGAGCCATACCAGATGTATCTTTTATTTTTGACATAACATTAATATCTTTTTCTAATTTTTCATCATGACGCAATTCATTATTATCTTCATTATTATTATTATTATTATTATTATTATTAGAATCGAAATTATCATTTGGAATTTGTTGATCATTTGTATTCGAAATTTTATGTATGATTTCATTTGGATTTGAATAAGATTCACTTCGACTTCGATAAGATTTCATTAATTCAGGTACAGCTTGAATTGCAATTGGTGCTGGCCAATCAAGTGATTCAATTTTTTTTGGTGCTGTTGGATCAGGAATAAAACCACCTGAATATCGAGAAAGAACAATAGGTTCTTGTTCAATTTTTAATTCATTTTCATTCATTGTTGATACAGATGGTGATGTAGAACAATGAATTTTACGAATTTTTGTTTGTCCTGATCAAAAATAAAATAAAAGACAAAAAGAATTAATATGAAATTTCATATATATGAATTAGTAATATATACCAGTCAGTAAAGCTTTCATTCCTTTTTTAGTACCAGGTACTGTAAATGTTTGTGTTCGATTATATGAAAAACCGACTAAAAAAAAGAAAAATCAAATCATTTTTTTCCTCTTATTGATAAGATATAAATACTTTCAACAAAAAAAAAAAAAAAAAAAAAAACTTTATAAATGACATAACTTTTCAAGTATACCTATTCATTTTATAAAAGTATGTCAAGATCATTTCAAGGATTTTAATAACTGTTTCTTCATGGTTCATTTTTCATTGATATTAAATAATGTATAAAATCATATATTCTTTTCTTCTAGCACATACATACATACACACACATATATATATATATATGTATAAAGCTGATTATAGTGCTGTTTATGTATCATGATCGCCTGCAGACAATATACCACTTTGCATTTACTCTTGGCTCTTTTTGATAAGTAAGAAAGAAAGAGAAACTAGTTTTATTTCGTTACATCATCTCTAAAACTAAGCACATTAGTCAAGTGAACAAATACGTGTATATTTAATTGAGTTGTGATCTTTTACTATCACGAATAAGCAAAAAAGAAAAAAAGAATTAATGTTCTATAACTACCATAATCCTTTCTCATCTATTGTTTAGATTCTGTTTTAATCATTATCCTTATATAAATAGGATGAAGTAAGAAGGCAAGACCTTAATATCAACACTTACTCATTTCTTTTCTTAAGGACGATGCTTTCTGCTGCTGCTGCTGGTAGTGAACCATCAACATTATCGGTCGCTTGTGTGTATATGTGTGTGCGTGTCGTCTTCTTATCGCCTCGTTGTTAATAGTAGTAACACACACATATACAAAGCACGATTGGGTCTTTTCTGTCTCTCTCTCTCTCTCTCGCCCTTTGTCTTTCTCTTTCTGCTCATTGCTTTATTCGTTCTCGGCGTCTGCTATAGTTATTGAGAATGTTTTCTTTTTCCCGATTGTTCCACCACGTTTCTCATCATCTATTTTTGAGTTCTTGCATTGAAATTTCTCGGTATGACTCGTTTTTTTATTCCGGCATGTCAAGGTCATTAGCTAGACTACATGTATATACATAATATGTTATTCCCATTGTCCTATCGTCATACGTTCAAGTCTATTGATTTCTTTTCCGTCATTCTTTTTTTTTTTTTTGTTTTTTTATATATTCCGAACTCCGGAAATACACGAACGAATAAAGAGAAAAAGAAAAATTTCTTCACAGCTGCCGTTTTAATACTGAACAGATGTTAAGAAGAAGGATATATCCACCTGCTGATTACTCAATCGATATTGCTCTTTTCTTTTACTCTTTGTCAAGCTGTGTAATTGATAGGATCATCATAGGAAACAACAGCAGTTTTCTACTCATCTTTCAAGCGAAACAAATTATTGGTCAATGACACTTTTGCTTGCTTTCTTGCGTCATTGATATTCACTCATCTTTTTATGTTACACAACGAAATCGATCAGTTGTGTGATATTTTTTAATTAATAAACAACGAACAAAAAAAAAGAAAAGAAAAAAGCAAAGAAAAAGAAAGTTAATAGCTACTAAAAAAAAGAAGTATGAAAGATATAATTACCTGGACGATGAAATTGTGGTGATTTTGTAAATGAAGCTATATGATCACCACCACCTCTTTTCATATAACCCATATTTTCTTCACCATTCAAATAACCAGATGTCAATATTCGATTTAGATCACTTCTACCAATTTGACTCGGTATTATTGTACCTATTGTATGTGTAAGACAGCTCTAATAAGACAAAAAAAAAAATGTCATGATGACTGTCAGTCAATGTATCAAATAATAATCATTTATGATTATAAATTTCATAGATGCATGTCTCGTTGACATGCTATATATCTTCTGAATAACGATTGATCGTTTACTTACTTTATGTGGATGTGATGAACTAGATAGATCACAGGGACTTGCTTCATTTGAATCATATAAAATTAAGGATTTATCTGATGGATTTTGAGTCACATCAACATGAATGTTATCATTTGTGAGATTTGTGTCATGTGTGTTCGGTGATACAATAGATAATGAATAATCATATGCATTATTTTCTTTATTTTCATTAATAATGGGTTCAGATTTTTTAATTTTACTAAGAATAAAAAAAAGAAATAGATTTTATGTATTAGAATTTCAAACATACGTTTTTCTTAGAAATGAAAACATGATGCCGTTCTAAAACAAAAAAAAAAGAATGAAGAGAGTTATTACACTTATATCTAATCTTCGTAGCAATCAAAAAATATCTCTTTTTGATAGTATGTATATTCTCTTAAAGTGTACAAACATTTTTTGTAGATATATATATATATAGGCTTGACGACAATGAACGAAAAAGAGAATGAAAATATATGATGAAGCACCTACCGAATAGTTACTATCGTCGACTTTTTTCTTGCGTACAAAGTAATCGAAGAGAAAAAAGAAGAAGAAGCAGTATAATAATTGTCTTCTTTTTTTTTTTTTTTTCTTTTTTTGAAATATAATGAAACAATATAATAAAAATGATCGACGCGACGATAGTTATGCTTCAATTAGACAATAATGAAGCACTTATAATTGAAAACACCAACACTACAATGAGTGATGATGAAACCAATGACAAATTTTAATTAGTATTGAGAAGATCCATGCATTTTATGAATGCTTCGATCTGCTCATTTACTGCTGCCAATAATGATGGCAGCAGTACCAACACCTAATACCACTAACAGCAAAGAGAACAGAAGTATAAAGGAGTATATATATATCTGGCAGATTTTTTTTTCTTTTTCTTTCTTCGACCGGCGTCCGTTGATAAACAAGGAACGTAGTACTTTCTTTTTCTCATTTTTTTTCCTCCTTTTTTTTGTCGGACGACTATGTCTGTAGGATAAAGAGATCCCATTTATTCTAGTATGCATTATATGCATATGTTTTATGCCGATAGGTCACAGACATTCACATACATACACAGTCTGTTCATCGTTTCTCCCTTTCTTGATTTGTTTCGTCTTCTTATTCTTCTTCTTCTGTAAATAAGAAGGGAAGGAAATAATGAAGTGACATACATGATGACAAAGAATAAAAGTATTCTACGGATTTCCTTTCGTGTAGTAGACATCAACTAAAATGCTATTTATATAATTCTATATCTATATGTATCAAA